TACTATTAGAGTTAAAGAGAGAGACAGACTCCAATACAGTAACAGCTGGAGACCTCGACACCCAACTTGCAGCTTTGGACAGAACTTCCAGACAGAAAATCGACAAAGATACACTGGACTTAATCTGCATTATAGACCAAATGGATCTCATAGATATTTATAGAACACTTCATCCAATGACTGCAGAACACACATTACTTTGAGAGTGATCCAGCACATGGATCACTCTCAAGGACAGACTAGACAAAGATACATCAAACAAGACATCAAGGCTGGGCACGGTGGCTCATGCTTGTAATCCCAGCACTTTGGGAGGCTGAGGTGGGGGATCACAAGGTCAGGAGTTCAAGACCAGCCTGGCCAACACAGTGAAGCCCTGTCTCTACTAAAAATACAAAAATTAGCTGGGTGTGGTGGCGCACGCCTGTAATCCCAGCTACTTAGGAGGCTGAAGCAGGAGAATTGCTTGAGCCTTGGGGGTAGAGGTTGCAATGAGCCGAGATTGTGCCACTGCACTCTAGCCTGGGCGACAGAGCCAGAATCCATCTCAAAAAAAAAAAAAAGATACCAAACCAGACACATCAAAAAAGACAAAACCAAAACCAGACAAAGACACGTCAAAAAAGAAGACTACAGACCAATATCACTGATGAATATTGATGCAAAAATTCTCAACAAAATATTAGCAAACTGAATTCAACAGTATATTTAAAAAATCATCATGAGCAAGTAGGATGTATCTTTGGGAATGTAAGGATGGTTCAAAAGCACAAATTAATCAGTGTCACAATTGACAATGTCAATCAACAGAATGAAAGACAAAAACCATATGATCATTTCAATTGACGGTGAAAAAGCATTTGATAAAATTCAATATGCCTTCATAATAAAAACCTCTCAAAAAACTGGGTATAGAAGGAACCTCAATATAATAAAAGCTATATACAACAGACTCACAGCTAGTATCATCCTGAATGGGGAGAAATTGAAAGCCTTTCCTCTAAGATCTGCAACACGACAAGGATGCCCACTTTCACCGCTGTTATTCAACATAGTACTAGAAGTCCCAGCTAGAGCAATCAGACAAGACAAAGATATAAGGGGCATCCAAACTGGAAAGGAAGGAGTCAAATTATCCTTGTTTGCAGATGATATGATCTCATACTTGGAAAAACCTAAAGACTCCACCAAAAAACTATTAGAACTGATAAATAGATTCAGTAAAGTTGCAGGATACAAACTCAACAATAAAAATCAGTAGGATTTCTGTATATCAGCAGTGAACAATCTGAAAAAGAAATTAAAACACGATGAAAGAAATTGAAGAGAGGACACCAACAAATGGAACAAGTATTCTATGTTCATGGATTGGAAGAATCAATATTGTTAAAATGTCCATACTATACAAAGTGATCCACAGATTTAATGCAATTCCTATCAAAATACCAATGACATTCTTCACAGAAATAGAAAACAACTATCCTAAAATTTAGACAGAACCACAAAAAAACCAGAATAGCCAAAGACATCCTAAGAAAAAGAAGAAAACTGGGTGAGGTGTGGTGGCACACATCTGTAACCCAGCACTTTAGGAGACAAAGGTGGGAGGATTACTTGAGCCCACGAGCTCAAGACTAGCCTGGGCAGCATGGCAAGATCTTCCACCTCTACAAAAACTTTAAAAAGCAGTTAGGCATGGTGGCGTGCACCTACAGCCCCAGCTACTGGAGAGGCTGAAGCAGAAGGATAGCTTGTGCCCAGGAGCTTGTGAGCTGTGATCATGCCACTGCACTCTGGTCTGGGTGACAAAGTGAGACCCTGGCTCTGAAGAAAAAGAACAAAACTGGAGGAATTATATTACCTGACTTCAAATACTACAGAACTCTAGTAACAAAAATAGCATGGTACTGGCATAAAAACAGACACACAGACCAATGGAGCACAATAAAGAACTGAGAAACAAATCCACATACCTACGGTTAACTCATTTTCGATACAGGTGCCAAGAACATATACTGGGGAAAAGACAGTCTCTTCAATAAATGGTGCTGGGAAAACTGGGTAGCCATGTGCAAAAGAATGAAACCAGATACCTAACTCTTGCCATATACAAAAATCACATCAAAATAGATTCAATAATTAAATCTAAATCCTCTAGCTATGAAACTACTACAAGAAAAAAATTGGGGAAACTCTCCAGGACATCAGTCTGGGCAAAGATTTCTTAAGTAATACTCCACAAACACAGGCAATCAAAGCAAAAATGGACAAATGGGATCACATCAAGCTAAAAAGCTTCTGCACAGCAAAGGAAACAATCAACAAAGTGAAAAAGCAACCTGCAGAATGGGAGAAAATATTTGCGAACTGCTCGTCTGACAAGGGATTAATAATCAGAATATATAAGGAGCTCAAACAACAGGAAAATAAAGAAATGCACACCAAAACTACAATGAGATATCATCTCACCCTAGTTAAAATGGCTTAGATCCAAGACAGAGGCAATAACAAATGCTGGCAAGGATATGGAGAAAAGGGAACCCTTGTTTACTGCTAGTGGGAATATAAATTAGTACAACCACTATGGAGAGCAGTTTGGAGGTTCCTCAAAATACTAAAAATAGAACCATCCTACAATCTAGCAATCCCATTGCTGGGAAAGAAAATCAGTATATTGAAAAAATTAAAAAATAAAAAAAAATCAGTATATTGAAGAGATATCCACATTCCCATGTTTGTTGCAGCACTGTTCACAACAGTCAGGATTTAGAAGCAATCTAAGTATCCATCAACAGATGAATGGATAAAGAAAATGTGGTACTTATACACAATGGAGTACTATTCAGCCATAAAAAAAAAAAGAATGAGAGTCAGTCATCTGCAACAGCATGGATGGAAGTAGAGGTTATTATGTTAAGTTAAATAAGCCAGGCACAGAAAGACAAACATCACATGTTCTCAATTATTTGTGGATTATAAAAATCAAAACAATTGAACTCAAAGAGATAGAGAGTAGGATGGTTACCAGGGGCTGGGAAGGGAAGGGTAGTAGGGAATTTGGGGAGAGGTGGGGATGGATAATGGGTACAAAAAATATGTAGAATTAATGGTAAGGCCTAGTACTTTGATAGCACCATAGGGTGTCTATAGTCAATAATAATTTAATTGTACATTTTTAAATAACTAAAAGAGTATAACTGGGCTGGGCACGGTGGCTCAAGCCTGTAATCCCAACACTTTGGGAAGCCGAGGCGGGTGGATCACGAGGTCAAGAGATCGAGACCATCCTGGTCAACATGGTGAAACCCCGTCTCTACTAAAAATACAAAAAAAAAATTAGCTGGGCATGGTGGTGCGTGCCTGTAATCCCAGCTACTCAGGAGGCTGAGGCAGGAGAATTGCCTGAACCCAGGAGACAGAGGTTGCGGTGAGCCGAGATCGCGCCATTGCGCTCCAGTCTGGGTAACAAGAGCGAAACTCCGTCCCCCCAAAAAAAAGAGTATAACTGGATTGTTTGTAACATAAAAGACAAATGTTTGACCAGGCACAGTGGCTCACACCTGTAACCCCAGAACTTTGTGGGGGCCGAAGCAGGTGGATCATGAGGTCAGGAGATGAAGACCATTCTGGCTAACATGGTGAAGCCCCATCTCTACTAAAAATACAAAAAATTAACCAGGCGTGGTGGCACGCACCTGTAGTCTCAGCTATTCGGGAGGCTGAGGCAGAAGAATCACTTGAACCCAGGAGGCGGGGGTTGCAGTGAGCTGAGATCACATCACTGCACTCCAGCCAGGGCGACATCTCGAAAAAAAAAAAAAATAAAATAAAATAAATGTTTGAGGGGATGGATTCCCCATTTTCTGTGATGTGATTACATACCACATGCCTGTATCAAAACATCCCATGTACTCCAAATATATATATACCTACTATGTGCCCACAAAAATTAAAATTAAAAAATTACATATATAAAAAGAGGAACAGCTCTGAAAATGTATTCTACAAAAATAAGGGAGTAAAGCAAAACAAAACAAATGATGCACTCTAACACCGGAAACAGGACGTGGTAGTGGGGAAGGGCGGTACCAGAAGGCCAGCCGTGCTCCAGAGTGCAGAGCCGCCACTTCACACAGGGATAGAGGAAGAAGCTCCACAAAGGATTTCTACAGAAAGAGGAAATTCATGAACTACCTGATGGGTCTGAATTGAATGTCTTTAGAGGAGATTTAGACAACTGGTGAAGAGTATGGAGCTAAATTAATTATAAGTACACAGAAAATTAAGCAAATGAAAAATGAGGGGAATAATTAGCTGGGGGAAAAGAAAAATGTTGTAAATTTCGCTATTTACAGAGTCGAAATATTGTAAACACTGAATACTGACCTAACAAATATTATAATTTGACTATATTAAGGGGATGGGAGAGATGAAAAAGGTATGGGCATATGGTAAGAATGGGGGAGGAAAGATAGCTTGTGTCTCATCTTCAATAGCGGGAAATTAAGAGATGCTGCTGGAATCTGAAAACTTAAGTAGGAGCAATATAACCAAGTTATAATGGAGACATAGAAGTAAATACCAAAAAGAAAACAAACAAAAACAAAGCTAAAAGAGGTGAACAGGTGGTTGCCTATGGGGGGAGATGGAAATAAGCAGGGGCAACTGTTTTTCATAATAAACTGTGCAGAACTATTTAGATGCTTTAAACTCTGTGTATGTATAATAGTGGTAGAAAATTTTTGAACAGGTACACAGCCACATGCTCATTTTCTATTGTTTAAAAATATTAGTATACATATTTTTAAAACTCCAGGATAGCTTTGCTTCTAAAACTTATTTATTCATCTTTTGTGAAATGGGATAGAACATTTTACAAATGTAACTCAAGACCCAGGAGCAAGGCAGCTTACCTAGGAATTCACAGAGAATTGGCAAAGTACCAACTATATTCAAACATAAAAAGCAGTTGTGCCTTTCAAGAAGATCAGTTCACCTACCTGATGAAAGAAATAGGTAACAGCAAGGTCATTGTCATTTAAGAGGATTTCTTCTTCTGTTGTAAAAAGCCACTTTCGAATGGTCAAGCAGGTACCTGGCACAGCTGATGTATAATTCTGAATGTAGAGTTTGTGAGGAAACTCATTAGGTGCCAACTTACGTACTAAAGGAGAGACAAAACACAGAAAGCTGGAGTAAAAATATATAAGAAATTTCCCTAATATAAACTGTGTATGGCAAATCAAGAATGGTATGTTATCATTAACCAGAACATCAGCTCAAATTCATCAAGGAGTTCTGCCTTGGGAGCACAAAACAGCCATATCTGTCCAGCCAAATATCCCTTCTAGCTAAGACCATGACCAGTCAAGTCTCAAGCTGATTGAAACCTATCACTTGAATGACAGGTTGCTGTGGTCTGGATATTTGTCCCCCGACAAAGCTCATGTTGACATTTGATCCCCAGTGTTGGAGGTGGGGCCTAATGTGATCTCTGCACACACCATGAATGGAAGAAAGCAGCCTGAGGACCTTAACAGATGCCCAATCTTGAACCCAATCTTAAGGATGCTTGGTGGACATCAGCTGAAAACCAGGAGAATCATGAGTCAAACAGACTTTTTTTTTTTATTAATTACCCAGCCTCAGGTATTCCTTTATAGCAACACAAAATAGACTGAAACACAAATCAGTTAACGTAACTCTGCAAACAGCACAAACTCCAAATTTAGTTAAAATATCTGATCCATTAACTAGTACATTACAGCTAACGTCCACTAAATATCCTTAAAGCAAGCCTCTCCTCTTACCCAGCTGTGTGCATTCAGAGTCTTTCATGTGGCAATTCTCAATGAACTGCTTTTACTGTTAACGCCAAAAGGTTCTTTCCAGACTACCTCCAAAAATCCTACAGCATTCCTCAAAGTGAAAAGTGTCTTGTGAGTAATGTTACTTCCTAACAGCCACCAAAGCAGGATAAAAAAAAACTACCACTTTTAATTTCTAAATTGCCTGTCTTTGGAAAGGCTGAGTTTTCTTTTCTTTCCTTTCCTTTTATTTTTATTTATTTATTTTTTGAGGCAGGTTCTCACTCTGTTGCCTGGGCTAGAGTGTAGCGGCACAATCACAGCTTACTGCAGCCTTAACTTCCTAGGCTCAAATGGTCCTCCTACCTCAGCCTCCTAGCTTGGACCACCTGCATGTGTCACCACGCTTGGCTAATTTTTAAATTTTTTGTAGAGATGGCAGTCTCACTATGTTGCCCAGGCTGGTCTCAAACTCCTAGGCTCAAGCAATCCTCCTGCCTCAGCCTCCCAAATTGCTGAGATTACCTCCTCTCTCAATGTTTACCTGGCTTTATAACACTACAAAAGACAGATTTAATATTTTCCATTTTATAGAAAATGAAACTAAAACTTAGGGAAAAAAATAAGGTTAGAATCCAAATGTCCTGGCAACTTAGTAAGCCTCTGTAATGTAATTTACATCTGCCTAGTTACACTGCTGTGAGTTGGGAAGAAAAAAAAATATTAGGGAGATGGCTGCTTTCAGGGAATCAAAGTTATTCTACCTGGACCTCAGATGGCAAGGCAACCTAAATCCACCAAACTCACCCCCTCTCTGGGATAAGGAAGGTCTGATCAACCAATATTATCTCTATCAATTATGGCCTTAACCCTGTATAAATACATATGACATGGAAGAGACCCATAAACTGTTGGAAATCTATGCTATTCAGAGAAAGCTCTCACTCTCTCCTCTTTGTAGTCTCAACGCAACCAGTATGATGGTGATCCCTAGCTTTTATAAAATAAAAGATGAGAAATTCCTGTCACCATGCAATAAAACTTCCTTGGAGGAGGAAATTTATTTATACAGAAACTTAAATGTATGCATTAAAACAAGGCTTTGAAGCAATGTATATCTTTCTAACTTAAAACAGAAAGCTACTCTTAAGAATCTTTACAAAAATCCTAAAGTACACTAAAACAACGTGTGGCTAAGTAGAACATCCCATCTTTTTAAGCCTGTTTTATTGGAATATATGAATTTTGAACCTCAGATTTAAAAGAACCTCATGAAAGTATCTGCCGATTCAGTGCTGATTGTAACCTATACTTACAAAAGAGGAAAAAGAATTAACAGTGATCAGACATCCTTATGACCTGAGTTTAATGGGGTATGCTTGGTCTGATTGTTACAGATGGTTCTAATGAGTGGGATCTCCCCTTGTCTTGAAGTTCTTCTCTAGGTAAATAGTTTCCTTCTGACAGTATTAGAAAACAAAACTTAATTATCAGCCACTGGCACTTACCAAAGGAATGACTGATCACTTCAAATAAGGCAAAGTAATTCACTGTCGTACTGTCCATGCCAACCTTTGCTGCAATAGCCTAAGGTTAAACAAGATATATTAAGTCAGACAATGCTATAGGAAAAGGCAGGTGTCTGCCTATGGAGGAAGGAAAAGGTAGAGGTTCTGCCATCTTGGTCTGACAAAAATTATATTCATGTGCATAGCTAGGCTTCTTTGTATGTATGTGTACATGCATTGATGAATATATACATATGAAAGAAAAGGGAAAAAAACAGCTGTATCTGACCCAAACAGCTATGATCTCTAAATATGAGATTCTCCCTTCCAATGCAAGCTGATAATAGTCTCTCCTTAAACATCAGCTTCCCTCTCTGAATATGACTTCATTCTTTTTTAACATCACTTACAAGAAATGTACTTAATAACACAGATCTTTTTTCTTCTTCTTTTTTTTTTAATTTTATTTTTTTTTTTTTTTTTTTTAAAGACGGGGTTTCACTATGTTGGTCAGGCTGGTCTTGAACTCCCGACCTCAGGTGCTCTGCCCGCCTTGGCCTCCAAAGTGCTTGGATTACAGGCGTGAGACACCACGCCCGGCAATAGCACAGATCTTAAAAAGAAAACAAATTCTTAAATATCCAGTTTCAAACATTCAGCCTACATTTAATACATTAACACAAAAAACTATATATTTGATTCTAGAGCTTAAAATATTGCCAATTATATTCTGGCTTCACAAATTGTTTTTGTTTACTTTTTAGATGATCCATGTCTCATGTTGGGATCATTAGGCACCTCCATTTCCTAAGAATTACCATCATAATATCAACATAAAATATCAAAATGCTGGGACAACAGAGGCATATTAAACAAGAATCATTCATTCTCTCTAGGAACTCAGGTCCTAACAAGACAAATAAAAAAGAAATTGGAAGATTCTGTGTGCAAATAAATGACAATTACATACAAACAACAATAAAACACAAACCAGTAGTAACAAAATTTCTTTGCAAGATCGGTCTCAATATAAGTAAGGTATTTATTTTTCATGCCATTGTTTTGCTGATAAAACAAAGATAAAACTGTTGAATATTAGTATCTCAGTCAACCAAATATGACTATATCCCTTCTCATGTCTACTCACATATGAGGCCTAGGTTCATCCATGATGTGATAGAGGAACTGGACATTGTAAGTATTCCAAATTATCATTCTACACTGCACTGGATAGAAACTAAAATGCTTTCAAGGTTTAGAAAATAGTTTATAGATAGAAGTCTCAGTAACAGGATTAAGATGAAAGTGTAAAAAACCTAGAGGAACACTGGAAAAAAGCAATCAAAACAAAACAAAACATCAGCAAACTGTAAAACTAGTACTTTCCTTAAAATTCTCTACCATTGTGTAATTTCAGAAATGCCTGAGATCCTGCATACATCCTTTACCATAATATACAGTGGATGAATAAACGTATGGAGGATAGATTTTTTAACGTTTGCTACAAAGGAGAAATATAAGCATTAGTACCCAGAAACCTGCTTGTCTCCTTGAAAATTCTGATCAAGTCAGGATTAAAGGCCAATGAAAAGGCATACAGGCATACCCAGCATGCAGATCATGATCTCTAAATACAGTTTCTCACTAAAAGGATGGGACTCCTTGGGGAAATGGCCTATTCTAGATATCAAGGGTAGGGAATATACAAAGATGAGGCCAGGACATCTTATTGTACCAAAAAGTAAGGATGCTATCATAAAATATTAGGTTGCATCAAAAGCATACAGGAGCAGACGTGAAGGAGCTTTCATTGGCCAAAGACGGAACAGTCTGAGCATCAAAAAGATAATATATGCTATTGATTAAATCACATTGAATCTAAAATTCCATGATACTAAATTATGATATATAATAATGTTATTTTATAATGCATTCTATATTATATATTAAATAATATATTACTTATATGATTATGTATTAATATATAATTATAATATATAATTTATTATATATTATTTAATATGTAACACATATTATATCTTATATATTATTAATTATATATAATTACATTTATATATAATGATGTATTTACTCTGAAAATCGGCAATGAAAAGAAAGGATTAAATACATATCCTGGCCAGGCGAGGTGGCTCACTCCTGTCATCCCAGCACTCTGGGAGGCTGAGGCAGGCAGATCGCCTAAGGTTGGGAGTTCGAGACCAGCCTGGCCAGCATGGTGAAACCCTGTCTCTACTAAAAATATAAAAATTGGCGTGGTAGCAGACCCTTGTAATCCCAGCTACTCAGGAAGTTGAAGCAGGAGAATCGCTTGAACCCGGGAGGTGGAGGTTGCAGTGAGCTGAGAGTGTGCCATTGCACTCCAGCCTGGGCAATAGAGCAAGACTCCATCTCAAAATAAATAAATAAATAAATACATAAATAAATAAATATGTATCTTGTCTTTCCCACAAATTGTATTTCAAGATAATTAAATAGCCTTAGTTGATAAGGAAAAGTTATTTTAAGAAGATTTCTAGCTAATCAGTGTGAAGAAATGAGAGTATTAGAAAATCAGCACTTTGTAATCTTTAATGAAATCACTGGTTAAGGCAATAATCATCAATGGATACATTCATTTGATAAAAGATCAGTGGTGAATTTTACAACAGAGATCAGATTTCACCACCTAAACCTACTGGTTAACCTTAGTTAGTAACACTGAAATGGGATAGCCCAGTATTGTACACTTGCTGTTGAGAAGCAATATAAAGTATATAGCACCAACTATGAAGTATGACCGAAAAAGCAGAACCTGAATCTAATGGAGCCTCTAGAGCAAACTTCCATTTATAGAAAATACAGAGACACAGAAGGACATATTAAATGACACCACCAGAAAACAAACAGATACATTCAGAATGTGGGGCATTCCACAGGACACTGACCCATTTCTGTAACAAAACAATGGCATGAAAACAAAAAGCTGGGGAAACAGGGGGACTGTTCTACATTAAAACAAACAAAAATCAAGTGTGATCTAAGGACTTTGTTTAGATTCAGATTTTAACAAACCAAATGTAAAAAATCATTTTTAGACAATTGGAAAAATGTGACTATGGAGTAGTTTTTAGGTAATACCAAGGCAATAGTGCTAATTTTTAAGGTTTGATAGTGGCACTGTGGTTTTGTAAGAAGAAAGTCCATATTTTTAGATGCACACTGAAGTACACGCAGGTCCGATAACATGGGATTTACTTTTAAATACTTAAAGGAAAAGAAAAAAGGAATACATAATACAAATGTGGCAAAATTTTGATAATTATTAAGTATGAATGATTACTATTACTATATTCATTATACTATTCTGTTTTCATGTGTGTTATAAAGTTTTTTTACAATTAGAAAAGGGGGGGTTGGCCGGGCACGGTGGCTCACGCCTGTAATCCCAGCACTTTGAGAGACCAAGGCGGGTGGATCACAAGGTCAGAGATCAAGACCATCCTGGCCAATATGGTGAAACCCCGTCTCTATTAAAAATACAAAATTAACAGGGCATGGCGGCATGTGTCTGTAGTTCCAGCGACTCAGGAGGCTGAGGCAGGAGAATCGCTTGAACCCGGGAGGCGGAGGTTGCAGTGAGCCAAGATCACACCACTGCACTCCAGTCTGGGTGACAGAGTGAGGCTCAGTCTCCAAAAAAAAAAAAGAGGGATTAATCACTACAACCTGGGGTATTTACCATACCTTTCTTTTAAGGAGGGTAGAGTACTTTCACATTAATAAACTGATTATGTGCCAGACACTCTAAGCACTTTACATGTATTGACTCATTTAATCTATCTTCCTTAGCTTCATACCATCCAACGTCAAGTCTACTTGTTCATTTAATTTACCTGATATACTTGGTCTGTAGTACTGTTCTTTTTAACCCTGACTGTAACCGTTGTTCCATCTGGTAATGCTACTCTCAGCTCTACGTCAGACACACCATTGTAGTTCTGGGGGAAAAGACACAGAGAAGGAATTTATGACTCAGTATATCTTCACTCTCCCTGTAACAAGCTAGCTAGACAATAACCTAAAACGTGATAGAGAGGAAGTGAGTTCCAATGAAAAAGGAAAAAAGTCAATACATTTACAAGTCATAAAGCTGACTCAGGGCTACAGCAGAAGTTAACCTTTAAGAGAAGCAGGGAAAAAAGAAATATGTTGAAGCCAACATGTTCACATTTCAAAACAGAAAACTTGCGTGAAACAGTCTAGGTCAAACACAGATGAGATTTTCGATTCACTTCCCTCTCCCCATTCAGAATTCACAAGTGAGAAGAGAAAATAACTGAAGGCAGTAGTTTCAATTATATTCTCTAGTATTAATGGCTAGGCATGTGGACTGGATCCAGAGACATCCTAAGTTCCTTTCTGAACCCTGAAATAATCAGGATATTGTTGAAAGAAAAAATGGATACCTGAGTCTTACCCATTTTTCCTTTCAAAGTTAGCCTGATGCTCAACTTTCTTCTAGCAAAAAGTAAACAATTCTTAGTCTCAATTCAAAAGAAATCCTCTTACTGCTTTTGATGATTAACACATTCCTCTAACCTTGTAATTTTTGACCTTGTAATTTTTACTAGAAAGTTATTTCAGAACAAGTCCATTTTCATTTACCACTTTTAAAAAGGTACTATTCATGCCTAAAATGATCATAACCACTGATTTATTTTAAGTCCTTGCCTGTAAGAAATTTATAATCTAGTTGGGAAAATAAGGCATATACATATAAAATAAGTCGTGGATAACACACTACTGTATTAGCATTAAATATTCATTCTTCTATTCAATTAATATTTATTAAGCACCTACAACACGCTTGATACTGTGGTAAGGCACTGGGAATATAAAGATGATTAAGATTTAGCTCTTACCTACAGATGGCACACACTCTTGTAAGCTAAAACATAAAGCGACAATCTGATTACATGTATAAAAATTAGAGAATGAGATAGCAACAGGTGATCATTGAATGGAATTAATTGCAAAAATTTTTGGTGGAATGAAAAATTGATGACAGTCGTCAGGGATGGCTTCAAAGAGAAAGTGGACCTGACATTTCAAAGAGAAAGTGAACCTAGGTCTTAAAGGACAGGTAAGTAGGATACATATAAAAAGGGAGTAGAAAAAATATAGTCTTTTGGAGAGCTTACGGAAATTTAACCCATAATCAATACCTTTAATTTATTTCCCCCACAAGAAGCCAAGGAGAAAATAGTCACTAAAGGAGGTATTCACCTACCTCATCTGATTCTGATAGGAATTCCTGCATGATGTCACTCTCACCAATTACTCGTATTGAACACACTGTAGAAAACAAAGATAAAATCTGGCATAAGGCCTTAAAATCAAGAAAATAAAGTCAAAGACATATCAAAGCTTAAGTTTAAATCATCAGTAGCAGGCAATAATGAGGCAGCATATCGTGCCTGGCACGTAAGATTTTAAGGCATGGCATTCATCTAAATATGATCAGAACAAGGAAATAACAGAAAATACAAAGATGTAGCTTGCTAAAAATATTAAACATAACCAGAAAAGAGAAATAAAAGTTCAGTAAATAGGCTGGGCACAGTGACTTATGCCTGTAATCCCATACTTTGGGAGGCCGAGGTGGGTGGATCACAGGTCAGGAGATCGAGACCATCCTGGCTAACACGGTGAAACCCTGTCTCTACTAAAAATACAAAAAATTAGCTGAACATGGTGGCACACGCCTGTAGTCCCAGCTACTCAGGAGGCTGAGGCAGGAGAATCACTTGAACCCAGGAGGCAGAGGCTGCAGTGAGCCGAGATCATGCCATTGCACTCCAGCCTGGGCGACAGGGCAAGACTCTGTCTCAAAGAAAAAAACCAAGTTCAGTAAATATAAGTTCATGGTCTTGTGTGACCTATGAACAAGCTAGAACAACAGAACATGGAGTAAAGAGGCAGTCGTAGGGAAAGATTAATCAGTAATAAATCAAACATAAAATTGAAATGCTAAAGGAAAAATATTTATTTGGCCTAAAAACAGGCCAGTCAGAGAACCACAAAAATTTAAAGCCATTTTGGGAAAACTGGGGTAGGTAATTAAGAATTCATATCAT